AAACAAACAAACAAACAAACAAACAAACAAAAACAAAACCCAAACGTAAGCAAACAAATGGTCGCTTTTAAGCACAAGGGGTCTATCCCGAAAAATGCTGTTTTGAGAAAATCGACGATAAAGTTTTTGCCCCATGTTCAGTTTCTTTAAAAGACAAAAAAGAGTTTCCTCTATAATTATAACCAAACAAATATGCACACCAATGAAACCAAATTTCTCCTATTGGTAGGGCAATGTCCACTCTTGGAGTAAGGTCAAGATTTCTGGAAACACCCGGACTCTGGGGTAGCCCGCTTGTCCTTAAAAGTGACCAAAAGTGATATATTCTAGCTGATATAATGATATATTAAATAATATTACTCCCTCGTCTCCCCCCTCTCCCCCCCCCCCAGGTGCTGCTCTGTGCGGTGGTGTACGTGACGTACCGGCCCACGGCAAGGCGCAGACAACCTGTGGCGACCGTCAAGCTGGTGGAGCTCTCATGTGACCTCACCCTGCCCGGCCTGGTTTCCTTCCTGGCCTACAACCTCGTGCTGGTCTCCCTTTGCTCCGTGTTCGCCTTCAAAACGCGCCAACTCCCAGACAACTTCAACGAGTCCCGCTTCACGTCCATGTGCGTGTCCACAACCCTGGTTATATGGCTGGCCTTTATGCCGACGTACTTCACAGCCTCTAGGGAGTTTGTGCGTGTGTTGTTACTATCTTTAGCCCTGCTGTTAAATCATAGCGTGGCGCTGATCTTTCTGTTTGTGCCCAAGATCTATGCGGCGCTCTACGTGCCCGTTGACACTTTTGTCGTCAGCCGTTTTCAGAGTACGGCTAACTCCGCCCCGTCTGATGGTCCGAGGCCGTTGCCTAGTAACAGGGTGGCACCGATGTGGCATTCGGGTTGTAATCAGCCGCCAGCCCAGGTGGAAACCACGTGACAAGACAGTGCATCTAGAGAGAGAGAGAGAGAGAGAGAGAGAGAGCGAGTAGTATAGTATGGTATAGAGAAGCTCATCAATAAAATAACTATCACTTAATGCAGAGTAAAAGCACGACTGGTGGACACGCATAGTCAAGTAAAAAAAAAAGCATGAGTGCCCCTTCCAGCTACCTGCAAATAGTTCTTTAGACTCTTTTTTTAAAATGAGGGCGTTTTATGCCCACATCAACACAATTTAGATCATTCAGAAGGGGAAACCGAGCTTGCTTGTCCAGGCGACCCCAGCCTAAGAGGCATACAACATCCTAGCAGAAAGGTCAAGACACTAGATAAACATATTCTCCCCATTCGGGATTCGAACTCGTGTCTTCTCCGTGCGACAGCGAAGCGCCCAACCGCCTCACCACACACTCCGTTATAGACTATGAAAAAGAGTACGATTTTTGGGGGGTAAGTGTTTTACGGCGCTCGCAACTGCACAGGGTCAAATGAGTGCGGGGGGACATATTAAACTTTTTCGTGTCCTTGCCATCATCTTCCACCAGAAAAAGAATCGAGTTGCCCTCTGCCCCCCCTCTCACGTAAACTCATCT